ATAATTAAAATCTGGACCTAAGTACTCTGAGGAGGATTTTCTAGTCACATAAAAAACAATCTTCCTTGGGGTTAAAATAAAAGCACAAAGTGTGTTGTCAACTTATGTTAATTACTGGTAAAAAACACCCAAAAAACACCTCTTTCTTTTTTTGCCTTGCATACTTGCAGGAAATAAGAAAATCTTTTCCTATTGCAGATGTATTTTCTCATAAGCGCTGATGTATATATGAGATGATGACAACTGGGAGCACTAGCAATTGATCAATCCTATCTGTGTCAACAGAAGGCAAGCTGGAATTAAGCTATTAATGGTGGAGAAAGTAATACCAAAACTATAATTTTTTAATTTTTTTTTTCTAAAGGTCATACAGTTTGCTCCAATGAGACATGGCTGGAGCTTCAGCTAAATTGTGTTGGGTATTTTTTTCCAATTGATTTATAGTATTTGAAAGTATTACATCATACCTTAATATCAATCAAGTCCTAATTTTTATAAACTTAGTAGTTGTAGAAAACCAAATAGAGTGCTGACAAAGCATAGGATGTTGAACTTGAATGCATTTGATAAAGAATATTCAACAATATGAAATATCATACATTTTCTTGGAGCTGTTAGCAAGACAAGCACTTTTAAACCTGACTTTCCCATGTACTAAAGGCAGACAGAAAAATCTTGCCCTGATGTCCCTATTTTAACCTTAGTTCTCTACCCAGTTCATATGCTCCTTTTCAGTTCTGTTTTCTCTATTCCACTTGAAACCATGCACAAAAACACAGTAGTATCATACAGTGGAGGAAAAAGATCTTTTGGTATTCATAGCAAACTCAGAAATACCAACAGAGTAGAATGACATTTATTTCTAAAAACACACTAAGTGATTGCAGTCAGTAAATCATCTGAAAGGTATAAGCAAAATTGTCGACCTGTTTACAGGTGGCTAAATAGGCTGATATTACAGCAAGGTACATAAACTTGTGCCTTACTGGACTATGAAGTCACTGGAAATACTTATTGAAGTAGCTCTTATACATATGCAGTGCAGAATAAAAATCAGCCTGTTTAAATAGCTGCCTCTCATATATACTTTCTTCTCTTCTTTGTGGCATGGACCAAGGAAAACCTTTAATAGTTCCTGAATGAATACAGTTTTTAACCTGGTACACTATCATTAACGGATCCTTATTTGAATCTCATAATCTACAAGAAAACAGTGATGATGCAGGGGCTGCTTCATGAGACATTCAGACTTCCTGTTATGAAAAGCTGTGAGGGGTGAGAGGCAGTGACCTGGGTTAGGAACCCTTGCAGTCATACAATTTTCTGGTAGCACTGTAGGTGAAGCAGAACTTGTAGTTTTAATGCTGTTAGTGAGTCATTCCTTCACACACATGGGCACTGCGGTCTGGAGAGTTAGACTTTCAGAACACCTTTGTGCAGATGAGATGGAAGTAGGAGATGGAGGTCGTTTGTAAACAGTAATCATCCACACATTACAACAGGAGTGGCAATTAATGTATTGTCTGCTCAGCATCATTGTGCGAACTGTCTCTTTACAGTGAGAATGCTCAGAACCTGTAGCCAGTAATGTACTCTTTTTTTACAAAATATTGCAGAAAACATTTCTGCATTTCATTTATTTTATGAAATAATTTTTGGAGTTTAGCATGAAATTCAGATTATAAATCCTAGTATGTTTCTGTCAACATTCTAAGAAACAAACATTTTGCTTTTCAAGCTTTCGCCTTACTAGTGTTTCTAGATGCTTCTTACTGCCTAAAATTTCAGTTGCTATAACAATGCTATCAAGATTTTATTAGTCTTTCAACAAAAATATTCCTCTGATAATGTATCATGTTATAAAGTCCTGAAATTTCTTTCTTTGAAATAATTCAAATATTGTCCTGGTGCACAAGAATGGGTCTTTATATTAAAATTCTTCCAGATTTGCCCTTTCAAAGTATATTCTTATTCTCCTTCTTTGCTTCCCATCTTTCACAGAGACATCTTCCTTTCTTTGGTAAAGGTCTATAGCACAATCACCTGTAAGAGTACAATATTCTGTCTTTAGTACACCTGCCTTTTCATTGTGATAGTAGTTCATTGTAGCCAATTACGTAAAAAAAAAAAAGTATTAAAGAGACGATTAAAGAGGATTGTAGTTCTACATATAGCATTTCCTAACTTGAGCATCGCTTCTTGATAATCTCACACTTAAAACAAATAGTCTTATTTGGAAAAATTTTCTTCTTTCAAAACCAAGTTCTTTTCACTAAAACCTCATCAGGAAAATTGAATGTTATGATTTGTAAGTCCTGCCTTGATACCTTAAAGGAATTTTGAAGCAGATATGCTCCCACTTTTCTTCTCTGGATTGAGGTTTTCTTGAAATCACACAGAAGCAGCAGCATCTTTTCCTTTGATAGGAAAAAGTTTATTATGGTAGTCATGACATACAGTGTTTTGTGGATTATGAGATGATAAACTACAACCATAAGGTATTATAGGAGTATTTTCAATTAAAAAGAGTTGACTTTGCACTGGGAAAGCTAAACTTTTATCAGAAGGTGGATATTTCATGAGAATCTTGTTTAGTTGAAAACTCAGGCTACCATTGAAATATATAACATTGAAAACAAGTTTGGTACATTTTTTCTGTCTGTTTTATTCTCCATTGCTTTTCACCTTATTGTTCCTTTTCTAAGACATACTTTTTCTTATTAGATTGCACTATTTGATGTCTCCCTTTCAATTCTTTTTTTTTGTGTGTGTGCGTTTTCTTTGCTGGATTCTTACAGTAAATGTTATATTTAAAAGCCAGGATGGAGGCAAAGAAACAATAGGAAATCTTATCCCTTTTTCACTTACAATTTTTCTGAAATTTCCACTTAATTGATCAAATATCCAGTTAGAGTATCTGATGATAAAACATTGTTCCAAGTACTCTCAGTTCAGTCTGCTGAACTTTCACAAAGGTTCTCCAAGACCTCTACTGAATTCCATTCATTAACCATAGGTATAATATGTGCAGTGCTTCTTTCTTCCCATCCTCCTTCACTTAAGATGTAGAAATTAAGTATATTCTCTTCAGCTTCTCCTAAGAATACAACCAACCTGTTGGATGTCTGTTCCACTCTGTACCTCTTACATAACTCACAACTAACATTTCTATTTCCAAAAAAAAAGTAATGACAGTATGTTTCTTTCTCCATTTTCATCCCTGCAATGAGAGAGTTTTAGATGTGTTCTGGGTACTTAGTTTCTTTCTGACTTGAAATATTCAATTTTATAGCTGTTGTGTATCATTAATATGAATTAAAGTAACTGAAGTAGCATCTTGGTAAACTTGACCATCATTTTGGCATGTATGTGTTATATGCATGCAGAACATATAAAGGATCTATGGTTTGAACTTTTAGTATTTTAATGTATTGCCATTAATTTTTTGAAATGTAGACATAATTCGTTACATGTAAAGACCAAAGCAACTCTGATGACTTTTTTCATGCATGCTTGTCTTTAAAGTCAAGCAGCAAAACTGTACTTTGAAAAGAAAAATTTCCATGGCAACAAAAGGGAAAGAAGACATTTCAAAATCACGTGTCTTTTTAGCTGAGAGTATTCCTTAGATGTTTTTATTTTATTTGTTTACATGACAAGAAAACAAACCAAGAAAAATCAAAGATATTTCTTGACCAATTTTTCTACATTTATGGATAACAATTAATGTCAATTCTCTGTCAATAGCATTTCCCAAATCAACAAGGTTGCATAAATAAGTGAGGAAAAATAAGGTTTCCCAAAACCACTCTTAACAAACCCTGTATTTCTTGAAGGTGGCTGCTTATCCTTACTAATAGTCTAATCAAGTGAAGCATGTGGAGTAGTGACCCTGAAGAATTCCAACATATTCTTAATTTACTTCTGAAAAACATTTGTAGGAGAGTTCAATTTCAGGATATTTTTGACATCTGGTAGTTGTTGTTTTCTGTTTAAATAGGAGGATTTTACAGGTATGCATAGCAATTAGAACAGGGACTGCTATCCTTGATGACAGCGTAACTATCAAGCATAACTTTTAAGACCTTGCATATGTGGATACAGGGTCAAATGGCTGCAGTGTTAGACTGCCTAGTGAAGTGATGTCAGAACCTTGATGGCAGAAACAAGGATTCTGTATTGTGTAGGCATATAGTCCATCATCCTAGCTAATAAATGAAAAATACAAAATATTAAAAATTTTGTTTGTAATGATTCTTCACAGCAAATCACATTTTTAATTTATATGTTGGTAGAATTGTACTTTTTTTATACCTGGGACATGCTGTATCCTTGAATTATGCTCTCAGTGTTTTCTGCCAAGTGTTTCAGTCCTTGAATTCCTGTGGAGATAGACATGCAGATGTACCTACAAGTAGTGTATGAAAGCACAAAGTTTCTTACTTCAACTGACAGGACTCTTTCTAGTGGAAACATGTAGAACTTTGGTGGTATCTGGAGACAGATATCATATATTAATATCATATTCAAAAAGATTTGATCTATTTAAATATTCAGCCTATGGATACTGGTCTTTAATACATTACGTATGGTCTCCAAATTTCAATTTTTGTACATTGGTATTGCACTGTACTTTGGGAACACTGGCTCAAAATCCAGACCATAATTTCCTTATTGAATCATTTTAATGCAACACACTACTTGTGACAGCAAGGGATAGGCTGAAGAAGGGAAATCTACCAAATATATTTCAGTCTTCCTGCGTCTTTCTCTAATATACTTCTGTGTATATGCTGAGTCAAGCACACACTTTTTTCATCTCTTATCTCAATGAAGATAAGCTGTATATCATTTAAGGAAAAAAAAAAGGAAAAACCATCCCACTGAAATGCTGAACTTGCTTTTACTTTAAGTAGAAAAGACTACTTCCCTTGTTACCACAGACATTGAAAAGGTTTTTTTAAACTAGAGCAAGTTTTGTAGTACAGGTACTAGCTGCTCCTTCTTGCAGGATTTCATCATCTGTGGCAATGTAATTTCTTGGTAATAAGTGTGTCTTGCTAACCAAGATCCTGCAGGAAATTGTGATACCTGTGAAAGAGAGAGGAGATGGTTGCAACACGTAAATGTACGGGTTAAGTATTAATTCATTACAGGAAAATGATGTTAAGAACAGTGAAAAAAATAAATAGGTTTTTATAATTTGGGTGTTATTTTCTTAGAGGAAAATAATGTAAACCAGAAGCCAATCAAGCTCCCTATTCTTTAAGAATAGTTGGGCAACTGAAAACTAGTTTAATAATCATATAAATGTAATATATCTGATACAAAATTTTCAAGGATTCCTATAACTTTGTTTGGCTGATACCAAATCTAGCAGTGGCTACGTATAAGAGCAGAATCAAGAAATTACCCTGAGATTAGCTTGGGGGTTGGTTAGAACATGATGCTAATAACACCAAGGTTGTGGGTTTGATCCCTATATGGACCATTCACTCAAGCACTGGACTCAATGATCCTTGTAGGTCGCTTGCAACTCAGAATATTCTGTGATATTCTGTGAAGTTTCCAATAGCAAGACATGTAATTGAAAGAAGGACTCATGTAGGACCACTGTATCAAAATTTCTGATTGTTATGGTTTAGGAAAGCTATTCCCTAATTTAGTGTTCCCACTAAAATGAAAACTATAAGCCACTTCCCATGAGAGACAAACAAGGCAGAGATAAGAACAATTTACTAGAAACAACGATGAGATAAGAAAATGAACAGTTACAGCAACAATACTAATAAAAAAAAAACATACAAAAAGAGGGTGATTTATATGCAGAAAATGCTCATTAACTGACCCAGTGCTGTGTGACCCCTAAGACAAAGAACAAAATGGTGCTGGACCTTCTGTGTGCCACCTTTTTATTGCCAACAGCAAGTCACCCCCTTCAGAGAAGTGAGAATCTTTTACTTCCACCCTCCAGGGATGACATGGGTGGCATAGAATAACAATCTAGATATGCCCCAACCCTATTCTTGGCCGAAACCAGGACACTGACAAATCGGAATAGCCACAAGAGATGGTCATGTTTACTGTATTTTTTTACCAAAATCATTTTAAAGATGTTAAGTAAGCATCAGCAAATAGATTAATAATTGCCAGTTGGTATTGCTTCTCTGTGATGTGATTTACCTAACTGTAGGCTATTTGTTAAGTATTAATTAAATTAACTAAAAACTTGCTGTAAGTTTAAGGCCTTAATAAGAACTGAATTAGTTTATTTATTGCATTAACTGCCTGCAGGCAGACAAATTACTTGCATGTCATCACAGTTTATTTTGTGCTATTATTTTGTGCTTTAAGAAGCACTCTACTGAATATTAAACATATTATGATATTTCCATCTACCTCATTTAGCAAATTGTTTCACTCAGCTGCATGGCTATCAAGTACATACCAACATGTCTGAGAAAGAATTAAAATGTAAATCTATTTCTTTTGCCACATCCAATGCAGTATGTGATTTATACTGGAAAATAGTGTGTTAAGGAAGGGAAAGGTGCATCTGCCTGGAGCTACAGTTGCAAGAAGACTGTAGCCTCATTTCCTGCTTTTCTGTAGGAGCAGTGCCTTTACTTATGTGTCTGCCTCACCACTTCCACTTTTTTTTAGCTCTCCAAGGCAAGTGACACAAAGGAACATAGGAGATAAAATTCTGCTTTGAGACAGAAAGGAGGAGATTTCAGTGAAAAGGGAGGTTACACTAAATCCCATCAGCCAAATTTTATGCACACAAAAGAAGGAGCAGAAATACTCACAGAGACCTTTATTTACTGCATAGTCTACCAGTGGCCAGCCAAGGCAGAACACACTAATGATTTTAAAGGTTGCTTTCAAGACCCAGGGACCAGCAGCAACGCCGCGTTTTCCAACACAGAATAGTCAGAATTAAAGATGTAGCTGCTATCTCTCCCCTATTCTCCATTTCTTAAAGGAAATTTAATTTGAGTTTGTTTCATGTAGGTACAATGCCCCCTTACCGAATATTTACATCTTGTCTGAGGTCTGTGACGCTTTGTGTTTCAGAAGTGACTATTCATGGTACTGGTGTGGAAATGTTAGCGGATCATGGGCCAAAGAAGAGCAGAGAGAACAGCTGAAACACTGAATCACCTTTGTAAGTAGTGGGTGCACTTACAGTAGTTGTAGAGTTAGGACTGGGAGAAGTAAATATCCTAGTAACCCCTGTGAACTGTGCTTTGGGCAAAATGATGAAATAGACTTCAAGAACATGGACTTGATTCCCTTCTGGGGAAAATAAACCACCAGACGAATTCCGGGAATGCAACTGGTACACTCCCACTTCTATGGGACATTTTATCCTCAGACCTAGGCTGATCTGAAGTTGGTTTTAATCATTTAAAGCATGTGCAGTGTCAATGTCAATTCCTCAGTGCCAGCTGCTCAGGTCACAGATGCACATTTATTCTTCCATATTACTTTACAATGTAGACACAGTAGGAGTCCCCTCATGGATATGGTCTCTTCCAGGGGGATAAGATGTCAGGTTTCCATATAATTACTATGATTTTCTGGCAATGATGAATTCTTCAAATATGTTCCATCCAACTCAGCCAATGCTGCAATATAGAAAAGCATTGTTTTTATTAAAAGTAAATTATTCTTATCTTCAGACAAGGGATTTTTCTTGTAGAAGGTACAAGACTGTGATTAGGCAGTTTAAGTTCAAAATAATGTTTTAGGTTCAGATATTAGTCCAGGTAGAAAGTTCAAAATAGGTTTTTGCTTGAGTTCCAGCTGCCTTCCTGGTTCAATGTAGGGGTTCTTCTGTCAAAAGCCCTAAAGAAAGGAAAGCAGTAGAGCATCTTTGGCTTATGTAAGGAGACAGTGCACTCCACATAACAAAAACACCCAAACAACTCACTCTGCCAGTTATTTTCTAGTAGGCTATGGTTTCAGTAGCTTTCATGACTCACTCAGGCTGTCAATTCTACAGAGCTGCTGCAGCAGCTGAGGAAGCCTGTTGTCTTCACATAATCCTGATGAGTCACATTGTGACACCCTATGAACCTGATATGCAAAATCCTGCAGTCCTACATCATAAGAGTTCATGCAAATCCTTTGTCAGTTTTGTAAACTGAGAATTCTGCTTTTATTGGAATATAATCATATCCTTACAGGCAGAACAAACATCTAAACAATAGTGTTCTTTTTGTTTCATGTGTAAGCCTTGCAAAGTTGTGATTTGCCAATGTTTTTGATGATGATTATGTGTAAAGAGGATTGCATTTGATCCTGTGTTCTCTTGAAAGGTCACTGACTCATGAAAAAATCTGCATTGAACAGGAGTCATAAATGAGATTTTCAACAATATACTGGAACTCTAGTAAATGAGGCTGAGGTTTTGTACTGAAATTTTGTTAGAACTTGTTTGAAGCAAAGAGAAAGAGTTACTTGATTTTTGCTGCTTTTAACGAATATGTTGAAAGTACTAAAGCATTAATCTGAGAAGGAACTGTGAGTCAACTCAAGGCATGTGATTATTGTCTCTGTTTTGAAACCAGAGCATGAAGATCATGGTACTGCTAGATTCATTAATGCCAGACAACAGGTAGGGAACAGTGAGAATGTGTTTAATATTTCACTGTAAAGGAAGGAAAAAACTGAAAAATAACTTTCTTATGACTGGGTGAACTTCTACCCTAATCCCCAAAAAGAAAACATTTGTATGTCTAAGTGCATATAAAAACAATGTTATGAAACTGGAGGGACTTACATTTGCTGGCCCTCTTTAACCTATTCTGCAACACAGAAGTCCTTGTAGTCAAACTACAGCATAAATAAGCAATGAAATATCTGACATGAAACAAACATATATTAAACATCATCTAGGTTTATATTGGTAGGCATGCTCTTGCATGAAGTAGAACTTGAGACCAGATTCGTTATGGATACAAAAGGTTAACCTTTACTTCTGCCCTAGTACTCCTGACAGCATCTCAAGCTCTCACAGGACAAGGTGTGAGATGAGAGTCAGGTTTGAAAGCTGAAAAAGGGTGTAGGTAGCTACAACTTCTGTAGGGGCTGGTATTGATTATCTGAATATTTGCGTTTCAGAGCTTAGTCAAGTGGATGATCTTTAACAGCTTGAAGGCTGTGCATTGGGTCACTGCTGGATAAGAGTTTGTGCTTTTTATGGCTTAGTCTGGTGTGTACCACCCAAGGGGAGGAACACACCTGATTGAAGCTTATTTTTGCAGATCAGTAGTAGCCCACAAGGTTTTTAAGCAGTGGTAAACGCTTAGGCTAAGAACAGATATGTGATGAAATATATAAGCTTGGAATCAGATAGCTCTATGAAAGCTCTTCTGGGAAATACTAGAAATGTCTGAAATAATTATACTTTAGATGTGAATACAGTGAAATCCAAAGGTGTAACTGAAGCTTGTATAGATATGTGGGATTTAATGTTAAGCTAACTGCAGGAAGGAATTTTAAGAATAGTTCTTAGTAGTACGGGATTCCAAGTAATATGTAAAATCTGTCCAATGTCCTGCATAAACCCTCAGGAAGCTGTGCAATACTCTAATACTCCTTTGTCTGAATTCTTAGCAGGACTCAAGACAGCTTTATTAAATTTAGCTGAGACAAATCTTTCTTTTTAATGCTGACATAAGCAGAAGGTGGTTTATTTTTTCTGTTGTTATATTCAACTTGTTATAATTTACATGTTATAAATGATGAGAATTTACATGTTATAAATGATGAGAATTTGTTTTTTCTAAATTTTCTTACCTTTTTGAGAATAGTTTTATAATAGGACAACGCTCTCCCCTTCTTTCTTTTAAAAAATACATGTCCACATTGCATTTTCTTCATTTTGATCAAACACTAGTAATAATGTACAATATAATAACCTTGACTATAGTGAAACATGCAGCTATTCAGGTCCTGGATCATGTCTGAATATCTGAAAAACTAAAAAAGCAGGGAGCAGAGTAATATAGATGATATGGCATTATTAAAATATCATTTTAAGTCAAAAGTCAAACTCAGGACAGAGTTAGTTTTCACTGTGATATTGAAGTAAAATATTTTCTCTTTATCATGGAATTACTGCATTTAAATATAGTGCTAATCACATTAAATGTCATGTAAGGTCAGGAAATATTTAATCTGTGTAAGTTATAAAGTGAATAATTTTTATAATCTATATTTCCATTGTCATCTGTAGGCTAGTGATATTTGTCTTATTTTTTTGGAGTCTAAACCAGAGCATTTTAACACCAGAATTATAGAAGTTATATGGTGCTATATTTTGATAATTTAGATTATGCAAGGATTGCCAGGATTGTTTGGGCATTTTGGTGACCAAACACACTGATTCCTGAAATTGACAGTGTTCTCAGTCTGGAGTTACGGCGCCTGCATTTCCTGTCATCATTCGTTCTCCTTTTCCTTACTTTCCCTGAAAGCAGATAAGTAGATATACAAGCAAAGTAAAACTGTGATTTGCATTTATACCTCTTTACCTTTTTTTTCTCTCTCTTCCCCTTCGTGCTGTGAAAGTACACAAAAGATGGACCTATAACTAAAGCAGCTAATGATGTCTGATTTAGCAATCATTTTTTTTAAGGCCATAAGTTACTTCTTTAATACATCATCATAGAACCATAGAATTATTAAGGTTGGAAAAAAACCTCCAAGATCATCAAGTCCAACCTTTGATCGAACACCATCATGCCCACTAAACCATGACACATAGTACTAGGTGCCGAGTCCAGTAATTTCTTGAACACTTTCAGGGATGGTGATTCCAAGCACCCCCCTAGACAGCTCATTCCAACACTTAACAACCTTTTCAGTGAAAAAATTATTTCTGATGTCCAACCTGAACCTCTAATAGTGCAATTTGAGGCTGTGTTCTTTTGTCCTGTCACTAGTTGCCCGCGAGAAGAGATCAACCCCTATGGACTAGGATAAATGATGGAGCTCTTCTGCCAGCTCTCTCAATACTGTCAAGTGAATCCAATCTAATCCCATAAACCCATGAATGTCTAAGTTGTATAGCAGGTCACTGACTACTTCCATAGGCATTCAACCTTGTCATCACTGTCCTTGAGCTCTATACTGTCAAAACACTCCCTAATGTACAGACAGCCCACTGCCTCCCCTTACTCGACTGTTCCTTCTGAAGAGTTTATAGCCACCCACTGCAGCACTCCAGTCACGCGAGTCATCCCACCGTATTTATGTGATGACTGTGTCATAGCTTTTGTGGCTTACAGCTCATCCTGCTTGTTACCCATACTGCATGCATTGGTGCAAATGCACTTCATGTGTGCTATCAATTTCATCACCAAAATGTTTGCTCAAACTTCCAGGATGATTGTAACTAATGTAGTTTACATTTCTTTTCCAAATTGGTGGAAACCTGGCATCATGATGCTGTTGGCATAGTACATGGGGCATACAGGCTAAACAATTCTCTTTTTTAAAAGCAGGCAGGCAATGTAATGATTTCTGAAAAATTCCTGGTATAGACCTTCACCCCACACTTGGAATAGCTCAGATCTGATAATTGTCAAGGTATGGTTCTGAGCACACCTCTTTGACTACTGAGGGCATTTTACAGGATGGTTATGAATTAGAAAACCATCAAAGAAACTTTGAGACTGGTGAAAATTTAGTTTCATTTCTCTTGTAAGAGATGGCAGGTGTCTCTTTAAAATTTGTGTGTTAAAAACCCCCATATAAATATATTACTGAAATGCAACATTTCTGCTTTTGGTCATCAGCTTTTCAAATAACTCTCTGTGTTTTATGAAATAACATTATGGTGCTCTAGATTAGCATTAACCTCACTGCTTGTAAGGTTACAAATGTTTACAAAAGCTTCTATGTTTACAAATGTTTTGAAATCAGAATAATTTCTACCAATTAACTTCAGTGTAGTGCAGAAATAAGCTATGTAATGTTTGATTTTTGTCAAGTGGTGTGTTAAGTTCGTTTTCTGATTCAGTTTAGTTTTTTAGTCTTATTGAAACATGTTTTTGGTACACTTTGCTACCATTTAATCCTTAAATGTAATTTAAATATTAATCCTAATAATTTACTAGACAGTTTGCATTAGTTGTTCATTTCCTTTAATTCATGTTGTCTTAGCAGATCAACAGCTGTGTTAACTCTTAATGAGGGTTACTGTCTGACTGTAGGACAGAAAATTGCCTCCCTCAGTCTACTGGAAAAACAAATACATTCCTATACCAGCAGAAATTCTTCAGCACCCTCCCACCTCTCCCTCTCTCTCCCAAAAAAATATTTTATATGAAGATATTTTTTTATTAGTGTCATGGTTCAGGAATGGTATTACCAAATTTAGTGTTTCCACTGTAACCTTCCAAACCATGCACTGCAAGCTCACTTCCCCCTCCCTCTCTCCCTCCTCCATGCAGTGGGCTGGAGAGGAGAACTGGGGACACAAAAAGTAAACATCATGGGTTGAGATAAGAACAATTTACTGGAAGAAGTAATGAAATAAGAAAATGAACATTTCTGCCTCCTGGCTACTGCAAAAATTAACCCTGTCCTGGCCAGAACCAGGACAGTTGGTAATGTTTATTTAACACAGATAAATTAACAAGGAATTAATAATGAAAACCATTACATATCTGTATATCAGTATATATCTTTCCAATTCTATGGAAGATTTCAGTGTACCACAGATAAGTGAAATGCTCTTTAAATACTTATTGCAGCTATTTAAGAATTAAGAGTTAGTCATTACTGACCTACTGAAATCATCACATTACTGATTTTTATACCATATGGAATAGGTATTAGATTTTTTTACTGTGTTTGAAATTGGACGTTTACCAAAACTTTAAAATTAACCTTTCACAACCATTCCAGATGTTTTAAACTTAGAACTTGACCAAAAAAGGGAAAATGAGATTGTCAAGAGAATTCTTGCAAAATATTATCATTACAAAAGAATTATTTAAAATATTTGTCAATCTCTAACTGAAATTAGAAAGCCATATGAGTGTTTTATATTTACTTGGAAGAAATCTGATAGTATTTGTACAGATCAAGTCAAATAAACATACAAAATACTTCGTAATTTCAGTTAGGGAGGCTCCATAACCTCTCTGGGCAATCTGTTTCAGCACATGGTGACCCCCACAGTAAAGAACTTTTTCCTCTTTTTCAGGTAGAACTTCCTGTGCATCAGTTTCTTCCCATTGCCTATTGTCCTGTTGCTTGGCACTTCCAAGAAGAGCCTGGCTTCATCCTCTTGACACCTTCCCTTTCAATACTTACAGATATTGTTGAGGTTCCCCCGCAGCTGTCTCTTCAAGAGGCTGAACAGGCCCAACTCTCCCAGCCTATCCTCAGAAGAGAGATGCTTCTGTCCCTTCGTCATCTTTGTCACCCTCTGCTAGACCCACTCTAGGAGCTCCATGTCTCTCTTGTGCTGAGGAGCCCAGAACTGGACACAGTACTCCAGATGTGGCCTCACCAGGGCTGAGTAGAGACGCAGAATCCTTTCCCTTCACTTACTGGCAATGCTTTTCTTAATGCACCCCAGGACATCATTTGCCTTCTTGGCCACAGGGACACACTGCTGGCTCATGGACAGCTTCTTGTCCACCAGGACACCCAGGTCCTTCTCTGGAGAGCTACTTTCCAGCAGGTCAGACCCCAGCCTGTCCTGGTGCAGGGGGTTATTATTCCCTAGGTTCAAGACCCTGTATTTGTCTTTGTTGAATTTCGGACAGATCTGCTCTACCCATCTCTCCAGTCCTTCAAGGTCCTTCTGAAGTTGCACAGTTGTTTTTTTCTCTATCAAATATGTCCCAGAGCCACTATCACTGTGGCTGACGGCCTCAGCTTTAACCAGCAGTGGGGCCGTCTTAGAGATGGTTGACATTGGGCCTGCCTGTTGGACATGGAGGAAGCTTTTAGCAGCTTCTCACAGAACCCACCCCTGTAGCCCCCGCCTCTGGCTACCAAAATCTTGCCAGACAAATCTAAGAAAATTGTGAAAATATATTCAAAGAAAATATTGCTCAAGTATTAAAGCAATATTGAATTAGTGCTTGAGTGCTGAAAATGAGGATAAGATTCAGAGACTGGACTATTCTCTTTCCTAAAAGCTATAATTACTTTTTTCAACATTAATTTTGTCCCTGGAGGCAAAATTAATGTTATTTTAAGCAGAAACACAATGTGGGCTATTACAACTTGACTTTGTTTTCGTATTTAAAGGGACCAAAAAATTGCTTTTGATTTTTCAGGCCTGGGTGTTTGCTGAGCTAGTAACCATATATATCAGTGACCAGGGCGGTTATTTTTTGAGCCTGTTAGGGCAATATGGGCTTTTCTAAGCTACAATTAAGACTGAAACCCTGTTGTGTGACTAAAGTATGGAAATCTTAGATTGGAATGGATCTGTAGCTTGCCTGATTATTTTTAAGCTTTTTAGTTCAAAACATGCTGGAATTATCTGAAATAACTCCACAGCCAAATGATGACAGAGTACCCTTTTGTTAACATTAACAAAGGATTTCTATTTGATTGGCACTGTGTAGCACAACAGCTTTTGCACTGCATGGCAGTGCTGTAACCTTTAAAGACACAGTTTCCAGCAATCATATAGGTATATCAGGAGACGTTTTGGTGGATATTCCAAATATTTCAGGACACATTTGGATGAATAGTCTGAATTATACAGCATCAAGTAAGTATGACCAAAATGCTCCCATCGCAGATAAATTGTTTTAGCTTTTTGGTTGCTTCTTCCTTGGAAACTGGATGAGGCTGAAGAGTGTGGGGGAAGTGAACATGTACTCATAGAGTCAACTTCAGGCTTCTAGCATGTGCTCTTAATTTTTCTTGGGAGCATGTGTTTCTGCTGACAAAATCATAACCTTTATACTCTGAATGATGTTCTAAGGTGACTGCATAATGAATATCTCATCTCCACTGAAAATAGATAGGCCTTATTAGGTAGACCTTAGTCTTTATCTTCTCCCTAAAACAAAACTACTAGTCATTTTCCTCCTGTCATGCTCCTTTATGACTAGTGTATTAAAAGGGGGGGCTATCAATTCCAAATATAAATCTCACCCATAATAGAATTTTTAACCCATGTTACTGTTCTTACATAGTGAAAATAAGGTGAATTCGACTGGGTTTTTTTATAGCACAAAGGAACTCTGGTTTTGTATTTTAATTAATATAGATTTCTAATTGATTAACTGCTATATATTTGATTTGCAATAACTCAGCAGTGGGTATTTTGTTTGTCCTTTTAAGGTTAAAAAATGGATGGATTTTCAGAGAAGGATTTTTTCCCTATTAAAACTGAAAGTAATTTTCATAATTTCATGTTGGTATAGAAGCATATGTTATTAAGATCACAGAATGGATTTTGTTGTTCAGAAATAACTTCTATTGCCAAAGAGGGAAGAATTTGGAAGAGGGAAATGAAACTGTTATTGCTTTGTGGCTTATTGCGTAGTATCTCTTCTTAGCACAACAGCAGTTCATAACAAAAGAGTTGGAGAATTACAGGGAGATAGTTTGCTTTTCTAGCTTTCCTGAGATTTATAATTTATATAATTTTATTTATCTTTTCTAGGCTAAATCATAAAAACTGAGTGAAACATACCTCACACAAACATTATTTTCTCGTTCTACCCCAACAGAAGGGACTCTACCTCAGTCCCAAAAGCTAGCAATTCAAATTACCCTCAGAAATCTGCATTGTTAGAAATTCGGATATCTTCTCTGATTATTGCATCAAGAAAGCTAAGCACTGCACAGAAATTCCTCTCTAAGTTAAAAACAAAGGTGTGCCCTTGATCTATTTTCACTATCAATCCAAAACCCAGGAATCTTCAATTCAGCACAAGACACCCATGTGAGCATTAAGAGGACAGCTAATAGAAAGAGCTGAGCTTTACTGTACAACCTGATGCCAACATATTCTCTGTGCTTGGTATTCTTTGTTTCACCTCACTCTCTTCACTCTGTCTAGAAGATACCTGGGTAACCATCTCAAAATATATTTCCCTACTGGTTCTCCTGAACCTAAATTACGAGAACAGCCACTCTCAATGGTAAAATTGCTCAAATTTTTTGATGCTATAACTAGTGGGTTTTTTTTAGTTTATTGCCTACATGCAAGACAGTGAGATTCCCTTGTGAAAATAGATACATATAACACTGTAAAGTAACCAGTTGCTATGGGAGATGTAACTTGCCCATGTAGTGTTAGAGAAAATACCAACAAGGTGAAGTCTCAACAGCACTTAGAGCGGAAGCTAGAATAGAGGACACTGCTTCCACAACAGCTCTCCACTCTCCTCTCTTATTAGAACAATTTCTGAGATACAAATTGATTTGTCTCATTTGTGGTCACTAGGGGCAGTACTGTAATTGTTCTTTACATAGAGATTACTTCTTTTACACTTTTATTTTCTTTCACCACATAGCTTACTGACTTTCAAAGATTTTGGGGTTTTTTTTACTTGGTATTCAAGTTCCCATTTCCTTCTTCTGTTATCCCAGCTTTAATTTCTTTCAATCAATTTTGTTTTAACTTTAGTGGAAATAAACACACTAGGAAGTAAATTCTCTGAGACAATCACTGTCCTTTCTATTTGTGTAAAAAGCCTAGCACTTATAACGTTTTATGTAACTTAGTAAGATTGATTTGCTGGAAGTGAAAAGGAATGGTAGGGTGAATTATATTAAGGAAACAATGGCAATCTTACTTCTTGCACTGTTATTGCATTGCACAACAGAAGTAAAATTACGCAGTTACACAGCTCTTCTTTCTCCTTTTCCCTCCACTTCCCACATCACTGAAAATGGAACTGACATTGTAAATAGTACTGTGAATTTATATTATACCTATCTTCACTACCAGGACTACCATCAGATATGAAATATTGATGTCTATTTTAAAACACAATGGACTCTCGTTCAAGGAATCCTCAATTTTTTTTCTAAGTATGACTCCATCCTCTATTCCAAATACATTAATAGAATAATAAAAATACATCATATTTAGGCAATGATATTTAACTGAGAATTGTGGATGAGCAGTACCAAAAAGGCTTCTTAGTCTACCCAGAATCAATCATCAGACTTACATCAAAAGAGCAAAACAGAATCTGAGTTTTAAAAATATAAATAGTGAGTTAATTAACAACACTGAGGCATGCACAGTTGTAAGGGATCATAAATATTCCTGTTCTTCAAGGCTAATCCAATAATAGCCCCTTCCTCTGAGATAAAATTTATTAACACTAATATTGGTGTCATTCAAAAAGGAGTTGAACTTCTGGAACTTCAAAACACTATTCTGAAATATTCATACAAATGCTCTGAAAGTCAATAAGCGTTTTTATATTTGCTTCAACGATGTGAAATCTGGGCCCTTGTTTTCTGATAAAGCAGATTTTCAGGTGCTAGGAAAAGTATGAGAATTTCATGGACTTGTAACTGACTTTATGAGAATAATATGAAACACCGAACATATGTTTTAATGTAGTAAATTCTGTATTATCTAAATCTGTGTTGCTTTCTTAATGTTGAAGAAAATGTACATCTATTTTTAAATGTGCTAAATAGCATCATATAGGGTTAAGAATAACTTGAAACTGTGTATTGTTGTTGGATTTAAGCCATCTCAGCAAACACCCTGTTTTTTTAACAGTCCACATGATCACACATTGTTCTATTTCTGACTTATTTTTCATAATCATCCTTCACATCTGTAAAAATAGATGTGCATGATATCTTTTTGAGGGCTGTTATTACAATTAGTTATAATGAAAGCTGTGTAGGCAGTCTACTATATAACTGCCCTAACAACTAGCAAAGTCTAACTATGTATAAGAGTTCAGCTATATGAATTGCACTGCTTTACATGGCCATTCGTTTTATTAGACCAAAAATCATAGCCCCTTTCATAGTTGCTGTCATCTTCCAGCCAATATGATTTAAGCAGTAGGCAATCAACCTTAGTGAGAAGAACTGATGAATATTTTGTCCCCTGAATTTTGAAACAGTAAATAAATAAAGATGTTATCATGTAACCTACAAAGTCTTCCATGTCTTCAGGAAACTTGGTAGAGCCATGTAAAGGCAAGAACTGCATCTAACCACCTTGGCCTCCCAGGAGACTGGAAGGTAGAACTACCAAACTGAATAAATACTTCTCTTTATTGCTGTTCTTTGATGTCTTCTCAGTCTTGAGGGACTTTGCAGATGCAACGCAACAGTTGACTCTCCTCCTACTCTATGTAAGTTCCTTACAAGAAAATGAGGTTATGTTTCCATTTCTAGAAGTCTGTCTGTGAAATGTTTCCTTTCTTGACACAAGATATTGCCAAGGTGTCTTTTGGTACATGGTGTCAGACCTCAGTGATATTTTTCCTAGGTTTATGTGGGAAACTTTTAGTAGGGAGTGGCTGTGGAGGTGGATTGTATGGCGAGAG